TGAAGAAAAAAGAGGAAATAAATAAAGGAGAAAAAAGGTTATTTTTAAAAAGCCATTGTTTTCCTTGGATATTTGTTTCAGATGCCTTCTGCTCCTCATCTGACAGTGGCTTTCTTTACTTCTCATGTGTAGAGAAAGGATAATTCTCTTAATTCCAGGGTTATCTGCTGGTCCAGCTTGTCATGTATGGTCCTCTTGTAAAACTCTCAAGATAGTAGGTTCAAACCATGTATTAGTTTCTTTCATGAGAGTTTTTAGTTTTATGACCCTAACAGAATTCTTCTGCAGTATCCAGCAGTACTAAATATAAGTTCCAAGAATCTTCCTAGGGGTTTTAGCAGCATCTTGCTTTGTCCCCTGCCTGTTTTGCTAACCCTGTGCATGGTGAGAGTGATCATTTGAAGTGTACTTGTTTTATTTTACTCACAGAGAGAGAGGATGTGAAAGCAGTCAGTAAAATTATGCTCATTTGGTTCAATACTCTGGAAAATTCTTACTATGAAAAAGTCAAATATCAGTCATTCTTGTTTTCTGAAAGCTTTTGAATTTTAGCCCAGAGACATTACTAGGACCTAGTAAATGCCTTTTATTTGCTTCTGAGATTCTGCTTTAAGCATGTATAAACTCATTGTTTGCTCTTTCTTGCATAGCCAGCGTGACTGGTTGCTGTATCCAAGTATCTCAACATAAACCATTTTAGTGAAGACTGAGTCATATGCCCACCAAAGCAATGGCAATAACTTTCATTCAAAACCAGAGCAGTAAACAAACTCTAACTTGGTTATAAGTTTTTATTTAGCTGATGTATTTTTTCCATCTCATTTAAGTCCATGTGGATGGATAATAATGAGGCAATGAAATAGCCTTTAAGCATATTTTTTCCCTTAGTATACAGGTTGTGATTCCTGCTTAAGTCTGCAAACCTCCTTGTTTTGGATACGAGTGAATTTTTGTTACTGTATTTTCTGCAGGAGTGCCCCAGGGATCCCCAGTCCAGGTGCTATGAAAGGATTGTCTCAGTGAGGGAAAGTGGGGGAAGAGCCAGGTGTTCTCAGTTGTGATAAGGTGGTATTTGATTATTGTCTGATATCACTCCATCTTCCCCATATTTAAAATAGCAGAGTCCATGTATTTAAAGTAGCAAATTACCTCAGCCTTCCACTAGGTAGCAAAACCTTAGTTTTCTAAAGCATCATCCATGGGTAAGGATGCTCTTCAGTGGTTCTACTGACCCTTCATAGGAAAAGGTCCTAGACTGGGAAGAGAAGTGTGCAAGGAGGTTGCAGCTGAGGGCTCTTGATGAGTGTTGTCTTTATTCTCTAATGTTGAGCAAAGCTTAGATGATACCTCAAAGAATTGTGTAGGATCTGAGTTCATCTGTTAAACATAACCTGGATGAGGTGTGGGAAAGGAGCTGTGCTGAGAGGAGGTTGGAGAGCCTATTGTATGAGAGCTGACTGAACAGGTTTAGCTTGTGTAGACTAGTAAGTGATTACTATCTATAGATACAGTAGTGGGATAGATGAGAATGAAGTGCTACTTCAGTCAGAAAAAAGAAGGTAAAGCACCTTTAAGTATGTTCTAGATAGGAGAAGGTGTTTTATAGGGGACAGGAAACCTTCTTTCCTTGTGCTTTATAAAACTCCTTAGTTTACAGTGTGATACCTGTTGCAGGTGGGGTCTGCAATGGTTGAGAGTGTTCATTTCAGTCTTTAATTTGAGGATGGATTGCTGATTATTACAACTCCTATGAGAAGCTGTATTCTCCCCACTTCACTAATGGGGGAAAATGAGATGATGGGACTTGCTGATGGCATACATTAAAAGAGGGAAGGAGAGACAGAAGAACTAGAAAGTGAGGTCATCCTAGTTCTACTCCAGTGCTGTTACCTAAAGGAAACAGTGCCTGACTTTTAGAGGTACTTGGCATCCAGCAAGAAAACTGCAACCAAGGTATCATGAAGTTACTTTATCTCTTAATCAAGACTTTAGGACTTTAACTTTTTTACATTATCTGTTCTAATACTTCAGCACTTGTACAGAGTTTTGCAAAGCTGGAGAACTGGAGAACGTTCTGCTTTAACATTGCTAAAAAGAATTAAATAGATCTTTTTATTTGATTCTTGATTTCCACCCCCAGTGCCCTAAGAGAAATTTAATGCTCCTGAAGGGCATGGTAATCACAAGGAGAGTCTGTAAAACTTCTAAAGACACTGTAATAAAACTGTGCTAAAGCCATCAGTGATGCTGACTGCATGTAGTAACATAATGTAGCATAGTCCTGGTTTTGATATAGTCAAAACCTTTTATATTCTTTTAGCCATTTGCAGGGCAGTGTAAAAGAGGCATTTCTGTAACTGAGGTCCCTTGGGTGTGTTGTAACCAACTGGAATGATAAAAGTTTTGGGGTTTAAATATGTTTCATGACATTATCAGCCTTCAAATTTAATGTGACAAAATATATTGTGGTCTTGTATTCTTAATAGATCTAAATCAGAAAGCAGTCATTTCAGTTCTTCGTGGGAATTCGTGGTGCAATGGGAATTTTAAGGAGTATATCTGGCCAGTGAGATAAAAGACACAACCTGTGGCTTTGGAAGCTTTTGAACTACGAATTGTTGATGGTCAGAAGAGTGTTCTGGGGGAATGCACATTTGCTTTTCTATTTTCTTTCTTCCCTTATGTTTCCCTTACGTCTCCTAGACATTGCTCTGGCCACTGTAAGTCTGTTCTGGGCTAGGTGGACCTTTGGAATGATTTAGTGGAATTAGTCTGTTACATGGGTAAATAATTCTGCAGTCTTACCTTGGATGTTCTAGTTGTTCGTTTATTATGCTGTCTAATTGCTACAACTTGTGATCATTTCAGATAGTTTCACTGCTGTTATACAGAAAAGTCTATATTCCTCAGAGCAAGCTTGTTTATGTGCTTCACATCATCAGTCTTCTCTGAATTTTTTAAAGACTGAAATAACTACTTCATTTCTTCTTTAAAAAGAAATATATAATATAACACCACTTGGAAGATTTCATCTTAAAAAGAAAAGCCACAAACCGTGGAGGCTGATTTGCCAGGTTACATCTGCAGAGAATGGAAGTGTGCTTATATCAGTAACCTTGGTGTTTGCCTAAACCCCAACTGGTTTAATGTTGGGTTTTGCAGCACCAATTTCATGTGCTGGCTTTGCAGTGCACGTGCACCTGCAGCCGTCCACGCTGGGCTCATGTTCAGGTCACTCACTTTCACTTCTAGAAACTTCTCAATGAAAGCGTGCTGAATGAAACAAGCACAGATAGGTGGCCGTGGGTTGCAGTGCTTAGGGTAGCTTAAAAGGCAAAGGTTGAGAAACACTTCAGTTTAGATCTGCTCTTGGGGTGTGTTTTTAATGTCCACAACTGGTGCTCCAATATGCTGCTCTTCACGAGAGTCAAGGCTCTGCTTTAACTGGCCGTTGAAGAACTTGACTGCTCTTTACCAGTACTGGTAACATTCTAATTCACTTCCTGGGTTTCTGAAAACAGCACAAGTTCTTTTATTATGCTCCTTTCTAAGGTGAATTTTACATTTTTGTGTACTTCCAAAGAAGTTCATTGCCAAGCGTGGATATCTGACTTCCTACACTGTATGTGTGTATCGTATAGGGGACTGATGGCATTTCAGCAACCCCACTATGTGTGCAGGAGAGCAGGAAGGGAGAACTCAGGTGTCAGTTTGCTCAAAGCAAACACTCTGTCTCCAGAAGGTTTGTTTCTATAATAAACATTACAATACCAGTTGTATTTGTGCTTCTCTTTTTGGCTGGGATCCTTTTGGGACTTTTTTGAACAGAGATATTCAGGAGGGGGTTCAGCA